TCGGTAATACAAGCCGGGTTTGCATATAAATATACTAGGGTTCCATAAATGAGCCTCTTACCTATAAACTTGAATAAAAACTATAATCCCAAAGAGGCTAGTTATAAAACTTAAAAAAAAATATATATATAATATAATAAATATATCTAATATTTTAACTATATAAAAATGCAAATATTTTGAATAACAATAACTAAAAATAACTAAATAATGTTTAATAAAATCTATACTAAAAATCTACTTTGTAACAGTACTATAAAAGAAACCTCTGTATGACAAATGTAAAGAATCTTTATAAGTGTCCATGAAGGTTCCTTTTTTAGTATGAAATTTGGACATCAAAGTCCTATTACGATCCACCTTAAATAACTAATTTTTGAAATATCATTCAAGAAATTTCGTATCATAAGAATTATATAGGAACAACATGTGGTACACTTTTATTTTAGCTTAGAAAATAGGGGTGAAGCTTAACAAAATTCAGAGTAAACAGAAAAAAATAGGTTAAAAAAAATTTAAGCGTCCAAATTGGACGCTTAACGGTTTAAGGGATAAGAAATATATTTTTATTAAAAATTTTTGTTATACTTAAAATGTTAATTGATTTTAACTTAGGGCTCTTAAGATTCAAAAAAAAAAAAAAAAACTTAGGGCTCTAAACAAACTTGTTTTTTTAAAACTATAATAAGAAGTTTACCCTATAATCAACGTGACAAATCGTGATGAATCTCGTGCGATCGTTCACAACTTGTGCTAAAGCCAATCAAATTCGCGAAGTATGTAGATGATTCAAAAAACTATACCGAAATTCTGGTCGGAAATCAATTGACGGCAGCATATATTTTAATCCGTATCAATGGTATCAATGACTAACACGTTCTTTGCTTACAATAGACAAAGGTTATGATCATGTTTATATAGAATCATTTATTACTGTATTATAATAAATATACGTACCGTATGTATATGTAAATTGGAACGGAGACCACGTGGTTTTAAGACGCTGTGCTGCCTACGTACATACGTACATAATTAGTAATAACCGTTACTTGGAACTCAATACCGATACCTTAAAAGCCGTGACACTTTAAACATTTGGATTTCATTATTAAAACGAAACATTCTCGATTCGTATCAGCCACGTAATTGTATTAGACTTGTATTAATAATACATTTAATACGTATTGCGTTAGCAACACAACATACATATTTCTTATATCACTTTTTTATAAATACAATAAATACTTTTTGTTGGAAATTAAAATGAAAAAAGTTCAAATAACTTATTAAAAGGTCAATTTTTATTTTTACAAAATCATTAATGTTAAACAATCTTGTCAATGACTAATTATTAAAACAATCTTTTTGGTTTCTTTTGTTAGAAAATAATAATTGTTCATTAAATGTCACTTGTCACTCGTCACATGCATTTATTCTTACGTAAATGATTTGTCAAACTTAATGTTAAGATGAGTCCATATTTATTGTGTCGCTAAACCTTTATGGGAATATGTTTCAAGGTGCCTTCCTGTTAATTCAATCTTTTAAAACCTTTATACCTGACAAGTTCGGATTCTTTAAAGAGAAATCATAATCATATGACTTAAAAAAATATTAAAAGGCCGGACTGTAGTGGAACGACACCTAATCGGATAATTTTAAATATCACTAGTAGTGAAAAAAAGTTAAATTTGATTCGAATTAGACTCTACGTACGATTTTGCGGCGCAAGAATTCTAGTACGATATGTATGACGTGTATGTCACAAAGTCGCATAAAAGGGGTCACCGAAGTCGATGGCTTTATACGATTCGACATTCTCTTGTGTTGCTTAGGCTTTTTTTTTTTTGTGGTGTTCTTTCGGGTTTATATGATAACTTGACATTCTAAAGTCTTCCACTAATCTTATTTATTTTTTCAACTCTGTATTTTTGGTGTCTTACTGTTACGGACGTTCTTTCATTAGCCAAATATTAAGTTAGTGACTCACGTATCACGAATCAACTGACCTGCTTATACAGGCACATTCATTATTATCTTGAAAAGGCATACAAACTTTCGTTATCCAATTTTCTTTACCAAAACCTACTACAAATTTGGCGCACTTGAGGGTGTGCCTATTTAACGTTTACCCATCCTGGAACGCGACCCGCAACTTGGAAGGGCTAGTAGCAGAGGCAATTCTGTCACCAGCGACACCCACCAACTTTCGTTACGCAGCTTATTAGAAAGTGCTTCTGCTGCAGTCTCTCAGACTTCTCACACATTGATCAACTCTATCGACGAAGAGCCTGTTTCTTTACCTTATACTCTTTCTTCTCCATCACATATTACTTCTCCCTCAAATTCAAATTCCTCATTTCTTGCGGACGAGTCACGGACTCAAACTAGTGGCTATCACCCCCGTGACGAAGTCGATAACGATTATTCGCGACCCAGTGATTCTGATTCTGATTTACGCTTTCCAAAGCGTCCTCGTCTTATAAAACACTCCACTAGGAAAAAAACAATGAGGCTTCCAAAGAAAGAAAACGGGGTTGGAAGTAGTACTAACGGTGTTTCAACTGCTAGTAATGGTAGTTCACAAATTGTTACTAATGGTCAAGTTTCGGCTCTTACAAGTTTGCAAAATCCTAGACGAGAGGAACTTGTTCGGCTCATGGTGCAAGCAATGCAAGATATGGGCTATAGGTAATAATTAAATTCTTGATTTCTATTCTAATTGACCTTATGTTGCTAATTTTCATATTTATTATTTAGTAAATCTGCCACTCAACTTGAAAAAGAATCTGGCTTTTTACTTGAAAGTTCTGCTGTCGCAAAATTCAGGGATGGCGTGTTAAAAGGTGATTGGGACTTGGTTGAAAGTCTTTTCCCAACATTGGAACTAGATCAAAATCAAGATATCGTGGTAATATTCATTGAACTTTTAATTTATTTGCATTTCTTTAATCCTATAATATATGTATAAAATCATATGTAATTTTTTTCAGATTGTACGGTTTTTAATTCGTCAACAGAAATATCTGGAATTACTAGAAAAAAGAGAAATAAAATTGGCTCTATATACATTGAGAAATGAACTTACACCACTCGCATTCAATACTGAAAGACTTCATTTGTTATCTAGGTATGTATATATGTTTAATCCAATTTTTTAACGCGTTAAATTTGCTAATTAATATAATTAATAGCTAACTAATATTATATTATTATTTAAAATAGCTTTATAATGTACTCTAATGCTGAAGATTTAAGACGTAGAGCTGAGTGGGACGGTGCTAATGGAACTTCGCGTCAAAAATTATTGTTGGAGATACAGAGTATGAACTAAAAAATTTTCAATTCTTATTCTAAATATAATTTACTAAGTATAATTCACTAAAATTTATTTATTATTTAAGAATACATTTCTCCTTCAATAATGGTACCTGAGCATCGTTTAGAATCTTTACTTGAACAGGCTACAACTTTACAACGTATATCGTGCCTATATCATAATTCTGATAAATATATTTCTTTATATTCTGATCACGTCTGTGATAGGTAAAGAATTTTTTATTAATATTCTTAAATTGATTCAAATATTTGTAATTGATTTCATACATGGGAAATAAATATTTTTTTATGTTGTAGGTCACAATTTCCTTCAAGTACTACTCATATATTTGAACGGCATAAAGACGAAGTTTGGTATGTTGCATTCTCAAATAATGGAAAATTTTTGGCTTCGGCATCAAAGGATAAGACAGCAATCATATGGAGTCTTGAGGTATTGTAAATTTTGTCATTTTGAAATCACTTTTAATTATGTTTATCAAGATGTCTGAAACTGATGCTCATTCTAATTTACTAGACATTAGATTATGTGCACGAGTTGAAAGCACATACGGACTGTGTTTCTTTTTTATCTTGGTCTCCAGATGATACTAAAATCTTAACGTGTGGACAAGATAACGAAATAAAACTTTGGAGCGTAGAAGTACGAAAATGGAATATAAAAGCTCTTGTTATTGTATAATACTTCTTTCTAATTAACTTCTTTTTAGTCTGGAGAATGTTTGACTACACTGAAAAAACATCTCTACCCCGTAACTGCCTGCGCATGGCTTCCAGATGGACTACACTTCATATCTGGTAGTCAAGATAAAGATACTCATTTATGGGTAAGGTACTTAAGATTTTATTATGTTAGTTGAATTGACTTTTATTTTATTTTTCAATTCTTTGAATAGACTGTAGATGGGACAATTTTGTATACGTGGACCGGTGCCCGGATAATGGATTTGGCGATAAATAAAGAAGGAACGAGGATGGTGGCTATTTGCCATGATGAAAAACTCCATATTTATAATATTGAAACAAAAAAAGAAGAGGCGTACGAAACTTTAAATTTATATACGTGTATAATACGAATTTTTTACAAATAGATATGAACTTTTATTTAATTTATCTAGGATAATGGATGAAAATGCTAAGCTCACCTCTATTTGTTTATCAAGTGATTGCAAGTATGCTTTGGTGAATCTTTCCACAAGGGTATGAATGATCGAATTTATCATTTCTTAATGTGTTAAATGTTTTACCGAAAGAAAACTTATAAAATATAGGAAATTCATCTATGGGACATTGAAGAAAGACGAATTGTTCGTAAATATTATGGCCAGAAACAGGAAAAGTTTGTTATTCGGTCTTGTTTTGGTGGTATTGATCAGGGGTTCATCGTCAGTGGTAGTGAAGGTCTGTTGAAAATTTAATGATTTTGTCATTAAATGGTTCACTTTTAGTGATTTTTTTTTTTTTTTTGTTTTTTTTCAGACTCCAACATTTACGTTTGGCATCGAGAACACGCTACGATGATCGAAATCTTGTCTGGTCATAAGGGTGCTGTCAATAGCGTTAATTGGAGTCCCGTTAATCCATATATGTTTGCATCTGCCGGAGATGACCATACAATCCGGCTGTATGTTTATGTTTATTTTATTTTATTTTATTTTATTTTTTTTTGATTGTTATTAGGTATATTAACTTGTTTTTTTTTTCAATTCAACACAGATGGGGTACACCCAATGCTGCGGATCACAAAGGCAAGATGAAGACCTCGTGACTAATGACTGTAGTCGATTGAAATCTTATAAGCTTAGCCGAGTCGACAACTCTGATACGGCTAAGCCGACTTAATCGGTTATTATCAAAAAAATAATCTGCCAAAAATAAACTATAATCTGGAAATTCTCATTGGCCACACTCGCATTGTTTATTTTTTTACATAAATAAAAAAAAAAAAGATAAGACTCGTTGTATAATAAAAAAAAAAAAAGAACGATAAGCATCGTTGCGTAACATCTTCCAAATTAAAAAACAGTTATGTAACATTCTAAAATGAAGCTGATCCGCTGATCCAGAATGCGTTGATACGGTGCTCGATAGACGTAGCCATCCACTGACCCTGAAAGAGAAGACCAAAGGCGATAATAATTTAGACTAGAAGGGTTTGGGGCATGGATAAAAAATTAAGCAAGTGCCCCTATTTTGATAACGCGAACAATAGTATGCTATGTATCAATTAAGAATAGATTAACGTTAGTGGAACCACCAAAATTCAGCCAAATTTGGATCGGATTAAGCCGGAATTGATAAATACATTCTAAAATCACAAATTTTAGTCCAGGTCTATGATTTTTTTGACCCGACTGGTACTGGGTCTTTATTTGGACCCGACCTGAAATAAAATGACGCTCGTTGGTTGGCTGAATTTGTATTCGGTCCGGGGGTTTCGAGCCGGATCCGGGGTTTTTTTGGTTTCGGGTCTTATCTGGATCCGACCAGAATCGTCCCGTGAAAAACACTGCCAAAATGATAATATAGTTGGCCGGTATTATTCCTTAATGCCACCTGGCTCCGACATATTCCTGATCCCAAATTGATGGGGGTAAAATCGCCACCCAAAAAAGTTTCGAAATTCATGTGAGATTGTCAATTCATCATGATTAGGATCATGATAATACTGTAATAATATTTACCAGATGTTGATTTAATAAGTGATTGTTTTGTCTTCGATTCTTCAAAATGAAAAACGATCGTTGCAACCTCGACAAACCAAGTGACTCTTTTAAAGCATAAAATCAAATAAACACAATCTTCTAAAAATATACATTGATTTCCGTAAACAAATTTCCACTAATAATTAACGAAAAAAGAAAAAATTTAATCAAAAAATGCAATTACACCAGAAAATCTTGTAGATTTTATTTTTAATACCTCTGATTATTTATTTGAGCAAAAAGTTTATATAATTCTGAATCCAGGACGCAATTGAAGAAACATAACGAATACAAGTAGTGACAAATGGCTCGCATAAATTGGAGAACTATATATAATCATTTTAAAAGACAATGGAATATTCAAATACTTGGAAAAACCGTAATCATAATACTTTCTGTAATAAATATTACGTTTATTGAGTTTATTCGAAATGATTAATGCTCGATATATTTTTCACGTGATGTTCAAACTTTTAAGTGGCGATTTTACCCGGCCTCCGATTTTACGGTCATGTGTTAAGGCACGAGGTTTTTTTTGTTTTTTTTTCACAGCGTACGCTTGATTTTTACGTTACGCCAGATCCTGATTTTTAATTGGCCAATTGATCTCGGAAAATCGATCCTGTGTCCCGGGAGTTGTTGTAACTTGCTAAGATCTATTTCGTAGATCTTCATTTAATGTCGCACGGCCAGTTAAGTATATGCCCATCTCACCACAAAAATCTCACTGTCACGTGACAGTGAAATAATGCACATAAAAATCTTTAAGTCCGTTGCCCGTGCCCGTAATGTGCACGTGGGGAATGCCTGTGTTCTCATACCCTGAACCTAATAAAGACTTGTCAAAAAGTTTTTTTCGTTCATGACACCCTATAAGTTCACATTAAACCCAATTCTTCAATCTCTAACAAGCGATTCCAACGACGACTCTGACGAATGGAATGTACTCAAATATCTATAGAAAATAAGCATTAGTATCAACGGTAATAAGACTCAGTTGGTAATCAGTTTCCTCTTTCTCTAGCCCGCACCAAAAGAGGTGATAAAACAATTATTTTTATCTTGCATTGTATACTTACGATTAATGCAATATTGGCTTAAAACATTCATGACTTAAATTTCTATTGAAATGTTTGTATTTAACATACAAATGTTACCGAATT